TAATCCTAGTACTTCTGAGGCGAAGGCAGACAGATCTCTGTGAGATCAAGGTCAATCTGGTTTACAGAGTGAGTTCCAGGCCAGCTGGGGCTACAGGGAGACCAAAAGGGGAAAAAAATGTTCATACTTGGGTCAACAAGATGGCTCAGCAAAAGAACCTGCTGCCAAGTCTGACAACCTGAGTATGCACAGTGGCACCTGTGTACACACACACACACACACACACACACACACACACACACACTAAACATAAGATTAAAAAAAAAAAAAAAAAAAAGACCTGCTGGGTGTGGTGGTGCACGCCTTTAGTCCCAGAACTCAGGAGGCAGAGGCAGGTGGATCTCTGTGAGTTCAAGGCCAGCCTGGTCTACATAGTGAGTTCAAGTCAGCTGGGACTACAGGGAGACCCTGTCTCAAAAAGAGAAAAAAAAAGAAAAAGAACTGAAGAGATGGCTCAGGGGTTAAGAGCACTTACTGCTCTTCAAGACGACCCAAGTTCAATTCCCAGCAACTAGTCAGGTGGCTCACAACCACCTCTACTTCTAGTTCCAGGGGATCTGACACCCTGGCCTCTGAGCACACCCCCCACACAATATACACATACACACATATACACATAAAAATAAAAATGAATCTTGAGTTCAAGGCCAGTCAGAGATACAGAGTGAGACCCTGTCTCAAAAAAAAAAAAAAAAAAAAAGCTTTTCACACTTCAGGTTGAGGATGTACATCAGTGGGTAGAGTTTTTGCCTGGCATACATCATAGCCTGGGTTCAAGCTCCAGCATGACATAAACCTGGCGTGGGAGCACAAGCCTGTAATCCCAGCACTTGGGAGGTTGAGGCAGCAGGATCAGAATTTCAAGGTCATCTTTGGCTACCTATAAAGCTCACAGCCATGCTGGATGTGGTGGCACACACCTTTAATCTCGGCACTCCTCGGCACTTGGGAGGCCGAGGCAGCCTGGTCTACCTAGTGAGTTTCAGGATAGCTGGGGCTACAGGGAGATCCTGTCTCAAAAAAGACTAAATTAATTAATTAATTAATTAATTAAAAATAAAGTTCACAACCAACCTGGCATAAATGAAACCCTGTCTCAAAAAAAATTTTTTTTTGCCAGGCATGGTGGTGCACACCTTTGATCCCAGCACTTGGGAGGCAGAAGTAGGTACATCTTTGTGAGTTCAAGGCCAGCCTGGTCTACATAGCAAGTTCCAGGACAGCTGGGGCTACTGGGAGACCGTGTCTCAAAAAGCCAAAAAAAAATTTTTTTTCATACTTTTCTAGAACATGGTGGCACAGACCTATAATCCCAATACTTGGGAGGTTACAGGATAATCTTGAGTTCAAAGTCAACATGAGCTACACAATGCAAACCTAAGCTATAAAAACCAGATTTTGTTTTTAGTATTTACTTTATTTAGTATTTTTTTTGTTTTGTTTTTAGTATTTTGCATGTATATAAGAGCACCGTGTGTTTACAGTGCCCACAGAGGCCAGAAGAGGGTGTTGGGTCTTAACCCCTGAGTTATCTCTTCTGCCCTCTTTGTTTTTTTTTTGAAACAGGGGCTCACATAACTCAAGCTGGCACTGAAACAAGGACTCCAAAGTGTGAGCCAGGGGGTAGTATAAGGGTGGGGTGGGGTGGAGTTGGGAGGAGATGTGTGATTTTTAACATATCAGAATCAAAGGCTAAGAACATAGCTTCAATGACAGAGTTTGAGAGGTCCTGGGTTCAATCCTCAGCATCCAAAAACTAGGAAGGGGCCGGCAAAATGGCCCAGCAGGTAAAGTGCTTGCTCTACAAACCTGTCAACCTAATTCAATCCCTAGACCCTACATAACAGTGGAAGATGAAGGTGCCAAGAAGAAAACCAACTCCAAAAAGTTGTCCTGAGCTCCACACACAGCTGTGGCTCCAGTGCACTAACACACACACACACACACACACACACACACACACAAACAAACATGTTTTTAATTAGGACAGAAGAAGGCTGGGCATGGTGGCACACATCTTTAATCCCAGCACTCGGGAGGCAAGAGTGGTGGATCTCTGGGAGTTCAAGGCCAGCCTGGTCTACATGGCAAGTTCCAGAACCAGCCAGGGCTACACAGTGAGATCCTGCCTCCAAATAACTAAATTAATTTTTTTTGAAGTTAAACATACTAGTGTGGTGGTGCATGCTTTTAATCCCAGCACTTGGGAGGCAGAGGTGGGTGGATCTCTGTTAGTTGGAAGCCACCCTGGTCTACATAGGGAGTTCCAGGCCAGCTGGGGCTACAGGGAGACCCTATCTCAAAAAGACCGGAAAACAAAAGAATCCTTTATTTTTTTCTTGCTATGTAACCCTAGCCAGTCTCAAACTTGCACAGCTCCTCCTGCTTCGGCTTACCTACAGATTGCTAGGAATACAGGAAACACTTTGTTTTTTTGGCAGTGCTGGGATGTTGCAAACTCAGGGCTTTAAGCATGCTAGGCAAGCCTTCTACCACTGGGCTACAGCCTTGATCCCTAAGCCAATCTTTTTTCAACAGAGCTGAAGCTGAAATTTTATTTTGGCACATGTATGAGTCTGTGTGTTTATATGTATGTGTGTTGCTAGAGAATAAAACCAGGGCTTCATGTACAGTAGACAAATACTCTACACTGAGCTACATCTCTAGCCCAAAGCCTTTATTTATTTATTTATTTTAATTTTTTGGTCTTTTTGAGGGGGCTACAGGGTCTCCCTGCAGCCCCAGCTGTCCTGGATTCACCATGGAGACTAGGCTGGCCTCGAACTCAGAGATCTGCCTGCCTCTGCCTCCTGAGTGCTGGGATTAAAGGTGTGTGCTACCACACCAGGCCCAAAGCCTTTATTTTAAATTAGTGCATACTATAGGGACTATTTCTATACTACAAATTCCAAACTGAGAGTGTCACACTCATCAACTATTAGTCAAAGTATTACAATTTGCAACATACTATTTTCTTTCACATAATTGTTTTTATTTCATTTATTTATTTATTTATTTATTTATTTATTTATTTATTTATTCATTTATTTATTTATTTTGGTCTTTTTAAAGCAGGGTCTCCCTGTAGCCCCAGCTGGCCTGGAACTCACTATGTAGACCAGGCTGGCCTTGAACTCACAGAGATCTGCCTGCCTCAGCCTCCCCGAGTGCTGGGATTAAAGGTGTGCGCCACCATGCCAACAACACATAGTTTTGTTTTTTAAAATTGCAATAGAGAATAAGTACTATTCATTACCTTGTTATCAGTTGTCCCAAATAATACTTTTTGGAACTTAAATTTTATTATTTAAAACTAACCAGTAATTTTGCCTAAAAAAATGTCTTAATAGGAAAGTTATCACTCGAACTTCACTGTATATAAAGAACATTTTATTTGACAATAAATGCACCATTGCCAACATGCACACAGTACCTTTTCCAGTCTATCACTAATAACATACCTTTCCTTAGAAATTCTAAACACCTGTATCTAAATATACTGTATGCCAACCACAAAAAGATGAAGCCAACAGTAAGAATACCACACTTTTACATAATATTTTTAAAATGCCCTTTTAGTAGGTATCCAGTGACTATCAGGGGCATGAATATTAAGCATTTCCATATCAATCGTCTTTTCTACTAAGTTGACCCAGTTCAAATCCTGAAACTGAGGCTTTTACCTTTTGAAGGGTAGAAAACAAGAGTTAAGTAATTGGGTAGTCCTAAAAATACACATCACAACTACATGACTAAGAAACTCATTTAAGACGTGTGCCAAGATAACCCCTCCCTTCAAAACAAACTAAAATTGACTCACTGGCCTATTTTACTTGATTTTGTAAATTTAAAAAATTAAATGGATTCCTAAACACTCATTTCCTCTGTGTCTGCCCCCACAGTAAACATCTTAATCTTTACTCTGGGATTCCGCACTCTTAAAAAAAAAAAAAAAAAAATGCTTAAGTCAAATCAAAAGAAAAAAAAACTCAGTATCTCCAAGTTATTTACCTTAGAGTTAAAAACAAAAACACTGGGCTCCAAAATAATTCATGAAAACAAAAGAAACAATTGTCTATCAAGGCTGGCTCCTTAGAGCTATTCGACAGAGAGAAACCCTCTCACCTCCGATACTTCTCATTTGTCAGAGGACCCCATTTGTGGAGTTAACCACTTGAGCAAAAGCTTTCAATTCTGTCTCTCTAAAGTGGGAAACTATCAATCTCCATGCCTGACATGATCCACTCTGTGGGCGTTTGTACATGTAGGGAAAATATGCTAGTAAACTTGGTAGGTGAGGACAAAGGGCATTTTGAAAGGAGCAGAGACGAGGTATATGAAGAATGAGGGCACAGAGGGGCTAAAGTCCTCTTGAGCTTTAGTATAAAGCCAAGACAGTGCAGCACATCTCCCCTACCCCTTTCTTAGCCACCCCCCCACCCCCGGCATCCTTCCTTATTACCACCCAGTGGAATCAAAAGTTGGAACTACCACTATCCAAGAAGACCAACAAATCCTCAAAATGTTAAGAGCCCTGACAACGGCGGGAATGACAGGCTAATGTCCCTCCCCCACCCCCAGCCCAAAAAAGAAAAGTCCAATCCAGTAATTACTGTGCAGGTCACCCTGCCCTCTGGGGCAATTCCAGCCTGCGCAGAGAAGGCTCTGACGGGATGTCGAGAAAGGAACGCCAGACCATCTCCATTTCCACACACCCTCAGCAGGAGAAACAAAACAAAGGCAGCTCTCCTTCCCCGGTAGCCACTACCCCAGCCGGAGGCTTTCCCATTTCCCGGTGCAGCCAGGCCTCCCGCCCCCGCCCCATGACAAAGAAAAGGCACTGGGTGAGCCAGGCCTTCCTGTCTCCGGGAGGGGGAGGGGGCTGGGGTGAGCAGCCCCCTCCGCGCACCCGTGCTCACGCTCCCAGCCCGCACACCGACCCAGCGGCGGAGGGCCGAGGCCGAGGCCTGGAAGCCGGGCCCGGGAAGGGGTGGGGGTACCTTGAAGTAGCCGCCTTCGTAGAGAGTATTGGGGGGTCCGAAGATGGCCACCTCCCAGTTGTAGAGGTCGGACTCATCCACCAGGGTGATCCGGAAGCCTTCCACTGGTTCCTCCTGCAGGGATTTGAGCTCGAGCATCAGGGCCTTCTGCGAGCTGGTCATCTGCTGCTGGGCCATCGCGGCGGCGGCCGAGCCGGGCCGGGGCCCCAGTCCTCGCGCACCGGCCGGGCCGGACCAGGCCCCTCCCCTCCGTTCGCCCTCGGGCCGGGTCGGGCCGGGCCGGGCCCCCTGTCTCCACACGCCCGGTGGGGCCGGACGAGGCCCCAGACGGCCCGCGGGCCCGCCCGGGGTCCTCCTCACACTCGAAATGGGCCCTACCGGGCCCCCTCACAGTCGGACCGGGTGGCGGCGGGCCTGAGGGAGTTGGGGGAATTCGCTCCCGGCCCCGGGCCTCCCCCCCCCGGAGGGGGCCTCTACGTGAGGGGGGGGTGGAAACGGAGGAAGGCGGCGGAGAGCAGGCGGTGGTGAAGAGGGGGCCCCGGGAGCGCCGCGCTCGCTAGCCCTCTGGTTCTCCTCGGGGGCCGAGGGGCGCGCGCGGGAGGGAGCGCCGAGCGCTGGGGTCTCTGGACAGCAGCGGCGGCGGCGGCGGCGGCGGCGGCGGCTGCGCCGGGGGAGGGGTGGCCGAGGAGAGCAAGAGCTAGAGCGCCGCGCGCCGCGGGAGCAACAGAGCCGAGAAGGAGGGAGGGCAAGGAAGGAGGGCCGCGCGCCGGGAGGGGGGCGGCTCTCGGCCCAGCGGCTCAACGCGCCTGCGCGCGGCCCTCCTCCCGCTCCTCCTCCGGCAGCTCTTCTCGGCTGCTTCTACCCAGCTGCGGCGGCGTTTTGTGACGCCCGCCCGTGTCCCCCGAAGCCTTAAAGAGCCTGGTAGCGGTGGATCGCTTTGGCCCCCGAGTAACGGTTGTGCAGCCGGACACTGCGGTCCCAGAGGCGCGTCCCAGAAGGAACCCCAAGTCCCAAAGCTCCCAGCGTCCTCCCCCTGTGTGTGCCCGGCCTCCGCAGCCGTCCTCGGAGGAGCCCTGGGCCTCTCTCAGTGACACCCAGTTTGTGGTCCTACGCTTAGTAGGTACTTGGACAGGATGGGCAGAGCGCTGCCTCCGGGCATCTCTCCAGCAGAGAGATCCCGCCCCCTGGCCTGTGTGCCCCCCCCACCCCGAGGCAAATCACCCACTTTAGGCAAGGCAGTTTCCCAAAGGAGAAGTGGAGGAAAACAGGCCAGCTCCCACTTTGCTGCTTTACCAAGAAGTTATGAGGAGAGTAAAAAAATAATAAAATTGGTCCTTCGTGTGATTTGGGGAAGATACCTTAGTTTACCTGTTTGTAAAATACTCGTTGGCCCGGCTCTACTGAAATGAGGGTAGGGGGACAGGAGCAGGAGGAGCACTTTACGGGAGACCAGCCTGGTCTATAAAACTAGCTCCATGCCAGTCGGAGCTATATAGTAAGACCCTGCGTCAAAAAAACATTATTGTGATTGAACTTTGACCTCCTACAGAGCCTTCAGCTTCATTCAACCTGGAACTGAGGGACTTTTTAAATAATCATGCCCCACAGTCCCTGGGTTAAAATACTCTTAGGAAGGCATGTCCTATAACTGCCTGAACTGTTTGCCAGAGAAGCCAGGATACTGTGAACAGTTCCACACAAATAGTCGGGTTCAGAAAGATCTTCATACCAACTCTTTGATTCATCAGCCTCTGTAAAGCCAGTTAATTATATCTAATACAGGAATTGTAATGATTAAATGAGATCATCTATGTATAGCATTCAGAATACATGGTTAATGATCCATAAAGAGCAACTTTAAAGAAAAACTTTTTAAAAAAGCATGATTGTTCGCTGATTGTGGTGGCGCACGCCTGTAGTCCCAGCACTTGGGAGGTGGAGGCAGGTGGATCTCTGTGAGTTCAAGGCCAGCCTGGTCTACATAGTGAGTTCCAGGCCAGCTGGGGCTGCAGGGAGACCCTGTCTCAAAAAGACCAAAAAAAAAAGCATGATTGTATTCTGGATACCACCCTTTTTAAAATTTTTTGAAATTATTTTTTTAATGTGTATGAGTGTCTTGCCTGCCTGTATGTAAATGCACCAGCGTGTACAATGCCTGTGGAATTCAGAAAAGGGCCTTGGATTCTTTGGAACTGGAGTCACAGACTTAGCCCCATGTAGATTCTGGGAACCAAGCCCGGGTCCTCTAGAAGACCAACCAGTGCTCTTAACCACTGAGTCAGCTCTCTAATCCTCCACCATTCTTTTAAAAAATATTTATTTATTTATTTATTGGTCTTTTAATATTTTATTTTTATTTTATGTGTATGAGTGTATTGCCTGCATGTATGTGAGTGCACCCGTGTTGTGCAATGCTGCGGAGGTCAGAAGAGGGCCCTGGAAATGGCATTAAGGACAGTTCATAGCCGCATGTGGGTGCTAGGAATCGAACCCGGGTCCTCTGCAAGAGCAGTCAGTGCTCTTAACCACTGAGCCATCTCTCTAGGCCCTGGTCTTTTTTGTTTTGTTTTGTTTTTTTGGTCTTTTTGAGACAGGGTCTCCCTGTAGCCCCAGCTGTCCTGGAACTCATTATGTAGACCAGGCTATGTAGACCAGGCTGGCCTTGAACCCACAGAGATCCTCCTGCCTCTGCCTCCCAAGTGCTGGGATTAAAGGTGTCCACGCCCAGCCTTTTTTTTAATGTTTTATTAATTTTTATTTTATGTGTATGAGTGTTATGCCTGCATGTAGGTAAGTGCACCCGTGTCATGCAATGCCTGCAGAGGACAGAAGAGGCTGTCAAATCCCCTGGAACTGAAGTTACGACAGTTGTTAGCTGCCATGTGGGTGCTGGGATTTGAACCCAGATCTTCTGCAAGAACAGTGTTCTTAACTGCTGAGTCATCTCTCCAGACCCTTATTTATTGGTCTTTTTGAGACAGGGTCTCCCTGTAGCCCCAGCTGGCCTGAAATTGTAGACCAAACAGCCCATGCCACCACAGCCAGCTATTTTTATTATTTTTATATATAGGAGTGTTTTGCCTGAATGTGTGTAAGTGTACCACATGCATGCAGTGTCTAAGGAGGCAGAAGAGGGTGTTGGGTCCTCTGGAACTTGAGCTACAGGTGATTATGAGCTGCCATGTTCTGCTAGAAACTGAACCTCCTCTGCAAGAGCCTCCAGTGCTCTTAATGACTGAGCCATCTCTCCAGTCCCATCATTGGTTGGTTTATATGTTGTTCCTTTGGTTTTTGAAACAGGGTCTCTCTGTAACCATATCTGGAACTTGCTGTGTGGACCAAGCTGGCCTAGATCTCACAGAGATCTACCTGCCTCTGCCTCCTAAGTGCTGGGACTAAAGGTGTGTGCCACCAAACCCGGCTCTCTCCACCCTTCTTTTTTATTTTTTAATTTTTTTTATTTATTTATTTATTTTTTTTTTTTTGGTTTTTTTGAGACAGGGTCGCCCTGTAGCCCCAGCTGGCTTGGAACTCAGAGATCTGTCTGCCTTTACCTCCAGAGTGCTAAGATTAAAGGTGCACGCCACCACACCCAGCATAATGCTTTATTTTTACAACAGTTTTAAATTTACAGAAAAACTGAGAAGATATTAAAGTTCTCATGTACCTGGTACCCAGTTTCCCTATTAATATCATCTTATATTAGTGCAAGATATCTGTTGCAATGTATAAATCAACATTGAGAGCTCAGCATGGTGGCACTTGTTTGTAATCCCAACACTCTGGAGGCTGAAGGTAGGAGGATCACTTTGACTTTGATGTCAGCCTGACTTCTAAGAAACCCTGTCTCAAAAAGACAAAAAGTGGTGCTACAACATACCTATAATCCCAACTCTCTGGAAATGGAGGCAAGAGAGTCAGGGGCTCAAGGACAATACTGGCTACAAAGCAAGCATGCCAGTCTGGACTACATGCCTGTCACCAAAAAAAAAAAAAAAAAAAAAAAAAAAAAAAAAAAAAAAAGGGCTGGAGAGATACCTCAATGGTAACTCCAGTTCCAGGGGACCCAACACCCTCTTCTGTCTCCTTGGGCATTGCATGAATGTAGTGCACATACATACATGCAGGCAGATCTCTGTGAGTTCGAGGCCAGCCTGGTCTACATAGCAAGTTCCAGGCCAGGTGGGGCTACAAGGAAACCCTGTCTCAAAAAGACCAAAATAATAGATAAATAAAAAGTCTAGAAATTTTAAAAAGGCTGGGCATGGTGGTGCACACCTCTAATCGCAGCACTCCTAAGGCAGAAGAGGCAGGCAGACCTCTGTGAGTTCAAGGCCAGCCTGGTCTACATAGTGTGTTCCAAGCCAGCTGGGGCTACAGGGAGACCCTGTCTCAAAAAGACCAAAAACAAATTTTTTTTTTTAAAAAGGGCCTGGCCTGGTGGCACGCCTTTCATCCCAGCACATAGGGGCAAGCAGATCTCTGTGAGATCGAAGCCAGCCTGATCTACATAGCAAGTTCCAGGTCAGCGGGGATTACTGGAAGATCCTTTCTCATGCTCCCCTTCCCAAAAAAATTTAAAAAGGAAAACCCAAAAAGTTATATGTCAATATTGATACACGACCATTGACAAGTTCAGGCTTTCTTCATATTTCCTTTACTTTCACCTAATGTCATTTTTCTTTTTTCAGTTTTTGATTTTGGGGGTTTTGTTTTGTTTTTTCTTTTCTTGTTTTGAGACAGGGTCTCTCTCTAGCCCCCGCTGGCCTGAAACTTGCTGAGCATAGGCCACCATATATGTTGAAAATGTTATTTTTAGGCCAGGAGTGGTGGTGCACACCTTTAGGCCCAGCACTTGGGAGGCAGAGGCAGGCAAATCTCTGTGAGTTCAAGGCCAGCCTGGTCTACATAGTGAATTCCAGGCCTAGCTGGGGCTACTGGGAGACCCTGTTTCAAAACAAACAAACAAACAAAAAAAGTTACTTTTCTATTTCAGCATCCCATTCATGCAAAATTTTAGAATTGTCTTCTTTTAGATGATTTTGACAGCTCTGAAGAATATTCATTCATCTTTTGCTTTTTTAGTTGTTTCTTTTGGTGGTTCCAAGACTGAACCCAGGGTCTCCAGGCTAGGGAAGTACTCTACCTCTGAGCTATAGCCCCAAGCCTTTTTAATTTTTTCAAACAATATTTCATCTTTTATTTAATCTTATTATTTTACATGTATTCATTTGTGTATATGTGCATGAACACACACGGGATTCTGCTGCAGTGAGCACTTGAAGGTCAGAAGACAACTTGCAGAGAGTAGATTCTCCCTCAAATCCACCATGTGGGTTCCATGGAGGCACTCAGGTCAGGTTTGACAGCAAGTTCCTTTACCTGCTAAGTCATCTCACTGGTCCTCTTTTCCTGTTTTTTGGGGGGACAAGGTCTTTCTAGGTACTCCAGGCTGGCTTCAAACCAGCTAGCCTCAGCCTCCAGAGTGCTAGGATTACAGCAATGGGCCACCACACCTAGCAAGGTAAAATATTTCGTAGACAGTCCCTCAATTGAGATTTGTGATTTTTTTTTTGTTTTTTTTTAGATGGTCTCCCTGTAGCCCCAGCTGTCCTAGAACTCACTATGTAGGCCAGCCCAGCCTTGAACTCACAGAAATCTGCCTGCCTCTGCCGCCCGAGTGCTGGGATTAAAGGTGTGCACCACCACACCTGGCTGAAATTTGTGATATTTTTCTAAGTAAGAC